CATTGTAGTATTGTAACGTTGAATTGATTGAGTCAGTTAAAAGTATCTTGACTGTTTTTCCAACACCATTATTATCATATTTTGTAGGTAAAGTGAGATTAGTAGATAAAACATATCTGAATAGAGTGAAGGGCATGAATGGAGTCATGTTAAAGGTAGGGTTGTCACCATACCTGAATTTGAAACTTAGATACCATATGAGTAAAAATCAAACAATATTGATGCCACAGCAACAAAAAAATACAAGTCCTACTGTAGGCCCCCAATATTGGGTAACTGGTTGTCTTTTTTCACAACCAACAATTGCAAAGGAGCTCCTGCACACTGCCTGTTGTTACCAACCTTAATAGAGACATAATAGTACATTATTTATTAAAAGTGTACAAAAAGAACTAACTACAAGTTAGCTCTTCTGTGTGAATGGTAAGTCATAAATGTGAAACACATCACGTGTACAGTATAATTTAAACACTGTAATTATTACATTTTGGTAATTGCATCATGTACATTGGTTTGAATACACAGAGTTCTAGAACATAAACGACATCATAATGAAGTTCAACATTGAAATCTACACCATGACGTGGAAAAACCAGTCTTTCTACTCTCAGCTACCAGACAGAAAACAACATCTAAGCACAACTGGTGAACAAAACTGATTAAAAAATTCAAGCAACTGGAATGAACAGTTGACCTACATGAGCCCTTCTGTAGCTGAAACAGGTAAACCATTGTTTGTTTACTCTTTTATATAAAAAAAAGTTTCTGAGGTCAAGTCAGTAAAACTTACACTTACAAAAAGGGGAAGTAAGGAGTGGAGACCCAATGAAATACACAACCTTAGTATCATAATGTTTATTTTAACTGAGGTATTCAATTAGCCAAAGGTCAGAAGAGAAGGAACAGCAGGTGACTGCTTGTAACACCTCTACAATTGATTTGTTTTTTCTGGTTGACAGAGCTCTATCTACAATGTAAATAAATATCATATCAAGGCTGGGAATAGTTTGGCTGGAATAGCAGCTTTTGGTGGGAGGGAATTAAGTGGATTTCTTTATTCGCACAAACACTGAAGGAAACCTAAGCATGATCATTTGGACTAGGCCTTTAAATATACTTAGATATGTTTTTGAGGGAGGAAAACGTTCAAGCTAACTTGGATGGATGTTTTAGTTGGAAAGAAGAAGCAAAGTGTAGACTGTGTGGTAAATGGTAAATGGATTTGAGCTTATATAGCGCTTTTCTGGTCTTCTGACTACTCAAAGTGCTTTTACACCGCAGTCACACCTACACATTCACACACATTCACACACTGATGGCAGAGGTTGTAAGGAAAGTGAACATCAGAAATAACTAATACCATTCATACGCATTCATATACCGCCGCCGAAGCAGCGGGAGCAATTTGGGGTTAAGCGTCTTGCCCAAGTACACATCGGACATGTTGCTGTAGGAGCTGGGGACCGAACCCTCCGATTGAGAGACGCGACTCTGCTGAGTCACATCCGCCCCTGTGAGAATGTATTTGAGGTATTATGTATTGGACTTTCAAATACAGACCTTTAAAGAGGGTCTCAGATGCTCCTTTGACAATTTTATATCTAGATTTCTGACGATGAAGCCTTATTAACAGTTGTAATTATCTGCCAAATATCCGTCGACGTTTTTAAATAAATTCTATCTTGCTCTTTGGACTATTTTTCACTTAATTTGAAGATAATGTGTTGAGATAACGGAGATACCATATTCACTTTTTCTCTAGATTTAATTTCCGAAATGGCAAACCAACTTTTGGCAAAAATAATGACAAAGAACTACAAGATAGTGAAGGTTCTTGGAGAGGGCCGCTATGGACACGTGATCAAATGTGCCAAACGTGACACTGAAGAGACTGTAGCTGTGAAAGTCTTAAAGACAAAAAATTCAAATCACAGCGACCTAAGGGAGGTGAGCTACAATTATGATCACAATTCAATAGGCATGTAAAGATTAATCGTGAGGTAATTAAAAATCGATTCAAAGGTGTCAAGGTTCACATTGATACTCTGAAAAACAAATCACAGTTATTTAATTAATTTTCTATATAGTGCCAGATCACAACAGAAGTCATAAGGATACCTTTCCTATATAACAGGTCTATACCTTGTCCTTTTATTAAATAAACTAAATAGCCTAATGTTATTTATCTTATTTACACGACGGCATGTCATTTCTGTCTCTACATGCTAGCATGTTTACAATTGTCCTCTGGTCTCTGTAACGCGCACGGCGGAGTTTAGCCCCTCGGAACTCGGAAGCCGGCGTCACACCCGAGTTAACTGTGTTCCAGTTGCAAGTCAGGAAAGCAACATGGACGTGTCCAGGAGTACCTTTGTTTTGTTCGGTAATGCTGCATTCAGAAGTTTCCAATTTGGGAAGTCGTTCTTCCGACTTCAGTGTGTTCACTTGATTTCAGTTCGGAAAGTCAGGATCAGCACAAAAAGTGTTGATGCTAGGAAAAAGATTGGCGAAAAGTTACTGTTTAAAGTGATAACTGAGCAAAAAGTTGGAAAAACTGGAACGCAGCATAAGCTGTAACTGTTGAGTTTAATAGCAGCTTAGTCCTCTTTTTGTGTAATTAAATCAATCACACCGATGTTATTGTGCAAGTTCTCTCTGTGGAGGTGTTTTCATGTTGTTTTCGGTCAAAAACTATCACGTAGTGTGTTGTTATCGCCTGGTAATAGCTAAAAAACAAAAGGTACTCCTGGAGGTGTCCTCAGAAATTCTGATTTCCGACTTCCCATGTATCGCGGAACTCGGAATTCGGAACTCGGAAGTCAGAAATTCCGATTCCCGAGGTTATTCCACATTTATTTACCTCGGAAGTCAGAAATTCCAAGTTCCTAGGTTAATCCGCGTTTACTGTATGCTGTGTTTCCCCCTAAAAAATTCAATAACATGTACACCTCAAGGAGTACCTTTGTTTTGTTAGCTAATACCAGACGATAACAACACACTACGTGATAGTTTCTGACAGAAAACAACATGAAAACACATCCACAGAGAGAACTTGCATGATAACATCGGGAATTTGGAAATTCCGAGTTCCCAGTCGGAAATGTCAACTGGAACGACCCCTGAAGTCGTAATTACAACTCGGAAGTCGGAGGTCGGAAGTCGGAAGTCGGAAGTCGGAAGTCGGTGGTCGGAACTCGGAACTCGGAACTTGGAACTTGGAACTCGGAACCTCAAAACTAGGAAGTCGGAAGTTGGAAATTCTGAGTTCCGACTTCCCAGGTATCCTGGGGCTAGGAAGTCAGAAATCACGGATACCCTAGGTTATTCCACATTTATTTACCTCGGAAGTCGTTATTCAAAGTTTCCGCGTGACGCTGTGTTTTTTCCCCAAACAAATTCTGAGGTTATACCGTTTTCCATTTCCATTTTCAACTTCCCAGGTATCTCGGACTTTGGAAGTCGGAAATTCCGAGTTCCGAGTTCCAACCTCGGAACACGGAAGTCAGAAATTCCGACTTCCGGCTTCCGACCTCGGAAGTTGGAAGTCAGAAATTTCGAGTCCCGAATTCCCGACTTCTGACCTCGGAACTCAGAAGTCGGAAATTCCGAGTTCCGAATTCCGATTTCCGAGAAAGTCGGAAATTCTGAGTTGCGACTTCCCAGGTATCTCGGAACTTGAAAATTATGATTCCCGAGGTTATTCCGCGTTTATTTACCTCGGAAGTCGGAAATTCCGAGTTCCGAGGTTATGCCGTGTTTTTTCCCCCAAAAAATCAACAACAAGGAGACCTCCAGGAGTACCTTTGTTTTGTTAGCTAATACCAGGCAATAACAACACACTACGTGATAGTTTCTGACAGAAAACAACATGAAAACACCTCCACAGAGAGAACTTGAATTCTGAGTTCCGACTTCCCAGGTATCTCGGAACTAGGAAGTCGTAAGTCGGAAATTTTGAGTTCTAACTTCCGACCTTGGAACTCGGATCTCGGAAATTCTGAGTTCCGAATTCCAACTTCTGACCTCGGATCGCTGGCCAGCTTATAGCCTACATTTTATTTTCTAGCAAGTGGCTTGTATAGTGCCCACTTATACAATCATAAGTGGCCGTGGACATTTACATTTGAAAAGCATGGCAATAAAAATGTTCAGGTAGCTTTTCTAAGATCAACCCAGCAGGCTCCTGTCATGTGAATCAACCAGTGGCTCAGTGTTTGCAGTTATTTTGAAATAGATCGTCACTGTTTCAAAGTATTTATTTGTCAAAATGGGTAGTGGCGTAGAGGTCTGTTATGTTGTGGTCCGTAAGGCCGTAGCCTCGAGAAAAAACCCTTTATAGGCCTATGTGTGGGTATTTGAAGATTAACCGAGGTAACCAGCTGTTGTAAGCAGCCAAACTAAAATGTGACCAGAATGCTTCAAATCCACTATGTAATGGATTTGAAGAAATGCCACTGTTCAGGTGGCACATTCTGTAAGGCAGGACATAGGGGAATAGGTGTTAATTTTGTTTTAGTGAGATCAAATCCAGCTCTGCGCGATCATGAACATGGATTATATTTTCTTTATTTTGTATTTTTCTTAGGTGGCTGGGATGTAGTGCTCACTCATACAATCAAATTTGCCATAGTAGATATAAAATGTGACTTGGAATCAGTTAAATTATAACCTTAATAGATGTTTTGTATTTTCCAATAAATGTATATAACAAGAGATTCCAACCTACATTTAAGAAAAAAAAATCCAGTTTGAAGTCTGTGTATAAATTCAAAAATTAACATCACTCAAGAAAAAGATTACCGGTAATCGAATTAATATTGATGAAAAAGTAAAATAAAATGTGCAAAATACTGATTTGTATTTTTATGTACCCCAAACCTAAATAAAAATAATTGTATTAGGGTAACATAAATCCAATAAATTTCAATAATTATTATAATTCCATATGTCACTCTTGGTGTCACGGGGTCATGAGTTTTATTTTGAAGGATTCAAACAGGAAGTGTAACCATCACTACTGCAACCAGAAGATAAGCGAGCCGTGACTTAACGTTCCCCCGAAAGAGAAGAGTTATTAAATCATACAGTAAGTAATGACTGGGTGGAAATGATAACAAACGAATTTGACTATTCACGTTGTTAAGAAATGAACCTCATCGGCTAGTTTTGTTTTTTTTATGCTTTAAAATCGTGTTAGAAACGGCGACATGTACCTGCGCAGCTAACGGTAACGGAAGCTTTATTTATACCGCTAGCTATCTACGCAGGGTGAAAACTTGTAACTAACACTGATATGTAAAGCGTTAGTTATGTTTCAGCTGAAGAGGCCAGGGCAGTAAACTAGGGGCAGTCTGCTTTAAAGACACGAGCAAATGCCTTTCAACTAAAAAGACATTGCGTCGAATTGCAACAAAACCAGCTTTCTAACATGTCGTGTGTCTGACACTTTCCTATTTTACAGCTGATCTGAAAGAAAACAGTGCAAAGTCTCCTTTTTTTTTATCCGTGTTCCTACAGACTTATCGCCCATTAAGGGAGGGCGGCGATACCATGTGGTAGTCACATGAACGACAAGGATGAGGCATAAACAACAAGGGGCAGCCGCTGCACAGTGTCTACCATAGGAAGGGGGGGGTCTGCTGCTTGTACAAGGCCCCTGCACATGCAGCCCCCTGTGTCCCCCTTTTACTGAACATATGCAATGAACAACACCACCACTCAGCCCCCTGCCATCATAGATGGGGATGTGGCAGTCGGCTATGTGTTGGTGCCATTTTTCCTCATCACCATTGCCGGAATAGCTGCAGCTGTGGTGAGTAGCTAGTTGGATTGGTTTGCATGAGACGACCTTCACAAAGTTAGAAACACGCTTTAACCATGTACTCCTCTTCACTTTGTCTGTTTTAGGTCATGTATATACGTAAGAGAAGAAGGTGAGACATTACATCTGCATTCATTGATTGAACGACACTTTTGTGATAAACTTGTTTTTTTAATTAATCCAATGGTTGTTTTCCTTTCATTTCGTCTCTCAGAGTTGACAGACTGCGGCATCAGCTGCTGCCAGTTTACACATATGATCCTTCAGAGGAACTAAATGAGGCTGAACAAGAGATATTGTGGAGAGAAGAGGATACACGGGTATGACGCACCATTAGTTTGCGCAACGAATTGAAGCGTACAAGTTTTGTGTCCTCTGGGAAAAGTTGTGATTGAATTACACTGTTATCTTATGAAAGATATGCATTCTTAATGGAGAGGTTTGGTTTAAACGTGTCAGAGTGAGCACGTTTTCATTAAAACGTAACGTCAGCTGCTTCCTTGTTTTCACATAATGTGTAGTTTTTTTTTTTTGATGTGGTTTTGGTTGGTTATGCCAGTCACTCTAACGGCAAAGCAGTTCCTCAATTGTTCATCCACTTCCTCCCTCACAGAAAAACATAGCTGTAAGAAGTACAGTAGAGTAAAGGTAGCATTTCTATACTACAAAGGTTACACTACTTGTTCTAAAAGCGATCCTCAAATGACTCAGAGTGACAGTCAGTGGCTTGTTTCAGTTTGAAACAACATAACTGAAACTATGTAAAGATTGGCCTTTTACCATTTCTTGGTATATTTTAAAAATAGAAAACAAATAATTGTATTCTTCCTGGTGAATAATCATTTCATAGAAAGATCACTCAGACAAAAATGTCTTTCCTGCTCATCTGATACTTGTCTTTGTACAAAGACTCCAATTGAGAAATACCCAGAACATAAAATGTGTATTCATTGCTACGATAAATTAAATTATTGGACTGGTTGTTTTCAGTGAAAAACAACAACACACACACACACCAAGCCATGAGCAACACTAGGTGGCATCATTGTCCAATGACAAAATTGTCCATCAAGTTTAATGGGAAAATGGAACAACAAATCATTCATATCAAGTTCTGCATTAGTCCTTAAAGGACCATTTTACCCAAATCAAGAAAACATAATGTTACTTATTTCTGCTGGATTTCCACTTTCTACAAGATTATTTTAGTTAGTTATCCTTTTTTTTTTTTTTTATAATTTTATAATAATTTTTTTATTGTTATAATTTGGGCCTTTTTGCCTTGATCGGATTGGACATCTGAAGAGAGACAGGTTGTTGGGAGGAGAGAGTGGGCCATGACATGCAGCAAAAGAGCTGAGGTCAGATTCGAACCCACAGGCAACTGTGATCAGGACTATAGCCTCTGTACAAGGGAGATAATCGCTAGACCATCTGGCACCCCTAGTAAGTTATCCTTGAGATAATCACCACCTATCTCATGAGGAGAAATTGAACTGGATTTTATTTTTGGTGCTAAAAAACCTCTATTGCACGACTTTCTTTCCCCAGCATCCCTATTCTAGAAGAAATACACAGAATCAGCTGTCAACAGCAGTCATGGGAACAACTTTTTGATAATGTAATTACAAAGATACTATTTACACTTAGGATCATCCTGAAGAACCAAGACTCAGTGTAATGAAATATATTTTAGACTATGCATGTTTAACACAAAAGTGGAACATCTTTGTAGCTTGATATTTCTGTGGTCAAAAAGAATCTCTTTGGATGTGTCATCTGAATGAACTGATCCCTTGTCATAGTTTTAACAGTTTTCCATGTTCAGAATACTTTGTGTATGCCTTTAAAGAGGACCAGGTACCCTAAACTCAGACTTGCCGTTTTATGTCCCCAGGTTGTGCAAGGTTGGGCCAGAAGTTACCAACAGCGACGGCCTCTTCTGACCAAAGACGTCAATGCATGATGGTAGTAAGCCTTGGCATACAACATATTCACTGGGGAGATGACCTGCAGCCACAGAAATCATTCATCTTAAAAATCATGCACAACATGGATTTCTTTTCTGTGCTACAATTTGCCTTAAGCAGATTGACAACAGATTGCAAACAGAGTGACTGTTAATTTGTGTGGTTGATATGCAATCTGTGTGTCTAACGGATGCAGTACCTTTAATGTATTTATTTTGATATTATTTATTAAAACATTGTACTGAGGTATGCAGTGGCAAGACATGGACTTTCTGTATAGAGATACAGGTTCCTGTGGGTTTACATTTAAAATGTTGTTCTGAAAGGCATGTTGCAATGAGATGCAATGGGTCCTTGTTTGAAACGGAATGAAGGAGTGTGTTCACATTGGGGTAGAGTAAGGCTGTTCTGCATATCTTAAAATGTGTCATTCTGCTGTGTGTTTGTGGCTGGATGTTGCCTGGATAGATTTGTGTGTTTGCTGGGTATTAAAAACAAACTTGACCTATCTGATTAAATTAGGTTCAACAGCCACATTTATTGACATGAAAGATAGCAATAAGACTCAAGTCTCCTATTGATAAAGATTGAAATACTTATTAAAGTAAGGGTGGAGTGGTACATTCAGTTTCATGTCAAATGATATGATTGAACTTTTGGTTTTAGTTTACTCTCAGAATCTAACTATCTACGCCACAATCCAAATCTCTTTGTGGTTTTGCCAAATCCTGTGACTCATGAATGGCATGAAAAGCATGATATGGAAGTAAATAACACCAATGTCCTCTCATCCCAAAAATGGGATGTGACTAGTGCCCCAAAAATGTCCTGTCTTCAAGGCATGGCACCAGCAGATTTACCTCCAGCCGGAGATGAATGCCATAGGTCTGACTGTGTCAAGCACTCAGGAAATGTTGCTTTTTTAGTTTCTTCTTGAATTATAACCTTTGTAAACCTTAGTTTGCCTTGCAATGGTGAATGTAAACTCAATACAGTACAACTGTTCTTAAATGGGAACATGTATTGACTATGAATATGAATTTATTTGACTGATGATGCCGACTGAAGTCAGGCTTGACTTCAGATTGAGCTTTTTACACGGATATTTTCTGTCATCTGCTCTTTACATGAAAATATGTTTCCTCATATTTCCTCTTCATTTTCTATGCACTGTACTTCTCTTCAAAAGTTAGGTTTGTTGCGAAATGAAACTGTTTAAGAATCCAATCATTTGACATTGATTTGCACTGGATAAACACTGGTATACTTTTCATGGGCTTTGATTTCAGGTTGCACTTAGAAAAACATCAAAGAACTACTGATGAAAATGTGTGGTAGGCAGCACTGTATCTCCTCTAGACTGTTCTTTATTTGCTTTGAGAATGAAACGGCTGATATAAACACTGAACGTGTAAATAAAGAAATGTAACTTTGCCTTTGTGTGTGGCGTTTTGAGCATCTCTAGACTAGTCCCAATTCAGTGAAGGACAATCTCAATGAATATCATATCCTCCTTTATGTTTTGATGAAACTTTATTTTAATGTTTCCAACTATGAAAATTCATGTCAACATTCCCTTTAGCTGGACTAGAGAATAAAGAAAGAAAAACTGATACTGAACATTTTCAAGAGTGGATCATGGTCATTTTTAACCTACATAAAGACATAAAATTCCTTCACTGGACATTAAAAAGTACCCTTATAAGTATTAGAGCAATGTTTAGCCTTTACACTGAGCAAACTGCAGTAATTTAGTGGTTTTAGAGAAAGTTCCAGATGCAGCAAACAATTTTGACAAATGCACAACCATTGGACAGAAGGAGGGACGGTGTTAACATTTTCTGTACAACAAGCTAATCTTGGAGCATCCGCACAGTTTTCAAGAAACTAAGTTTGTAAAAAAAAAAAAAAACCTCCAAAATGAACACCTGCAGTTGTTGCTTTGTTAGTATTCAAACAGACCTTCAGAAATTACTTGAAGAAGATTGACAAAGGAAATTCTCTTTATTGACCATATCTGATACAAATTGTTGTAGGGCACCATAGAAATATAGACATTGTACATTTATATACGGTGTACATTAAAAAGAATGATCCCATCCTGTTGAGTTTACAGTATATAAATGAATGGATGTAACATGTTGGTATGATAACTGACAGATATTGTCAAGAGTAGTTTGATGATGCTGGGGAAAGACGTGACGTGACCATTGGATGAGTATGGCGAGGGTGGCTGTGTGTGTTGTATTGCCAAAGACACGTTGGCCAACAGAAGAAGTTAAATGGAAAGAGCGCCCAGTCTTTAACAAACACACAACATTTGTCCATGAAAATCTGAACCAACATTTCAGTGCACCAGAAGAATTTAAAAACACACCTGCTAATCTACCACAGTCAGCGAACACATGTTGTCAAGCTGACAGGTCTCCCTGACTTGCTTCACACATTAAAAAAAAAAAAAAAAACCTGTCTGAGAGCTCTGGTTATGAACGAGCCGAAGATGTGCTGCACATGAACAGAGTAGATTTCGTCAAATCAACTCATAACAGTCAGGCTTCAAAAGAAAAAAAAAAAATACACAAACTCTGTAATAACGACACCTTTCCAACTCATGCCAGAGGTTACATTTAAAAACATCAGAAAAACCAGTTAAATGCAATCATAATATGGTAAGTAAGCTGTCGAGTGAGGTATGAGATACCAGGCCTTGTATCGCCTGCTTGCAGTTTTCCGGGTTTCGTAACTGAGGTTGTTGTAGCAGCTTAGGTGTGTGAAAAAACCCAGTTAAGTGGACTGTGACGGCGGGTTCCCTGACACTTGGAAATACACAAACAACGTTTTATCCTGTAGCGGACAGCATACAAACAACACACATCTTCAAGACTATGAAAGTATATAACTGTACTCAGTGATGACAGACGGACCAAGCTAGGTGAAGCAGCGAGAGCTAGATGGAATGAAAAATAACACACAGCCCTGTCGGATAGAAGTGCCACCAACTATCCTCGATTACAATCAAACTCCTCGTTTGACCGATAGCGATTTGCCTGCCGAGTGATTATGTGAGCGCTTGGAAAAAAAAAAAAACAGGAAGGACCCATGTGAAGACAAAGACGCAAATGTAACAGCTATTGTAAAAGCTCCCTGAAGAAACGACACTGATGCTCTCAGCCTAGAACTCTGCCGACCGTATCCTTAAAAACACACGTTGTATACCAAAAAAATGTTTATTATATATCATGAAAAAGCAGCACACTCATGTTTTTTTTTTAAAATGGTATGTAACCCGGAGGAACAAAAACAGTAAGTCTATTCTGATTACTAATGTTACACTTTACATCTCCCCTCCACACGGCAAGACCTGTGCAGGACGTTTGAAGTCCACAATCTGAGCTGATCTACCAAGGAAGAAGGTGGTTAACATGACTCTACTAATGAGGAAAGGGGGCGGAGAAAAAACAGTTATGCAGTTAAGAAATGGGAAAAAACACTTCTACTATCAGTTACCTATTCTCGTCCTACACACTGAAGCTCAACTCCATCTAAAATACGATGCAAAAGGAGAGGTTAACCACTTCACACGAACACACAAGGAACAAACGAAAAAAAAAACAGCAAGTTATCGGTAAAAATTCACCTTTGTCCAGTACAAAACATGGAGAGAAAAATCTATACGCCCTACCATCTCAGATGCGGGTACAACGAATAAGTAACATTAAGCAGAGGAAATGTCCTAAGAACCTTCTTATTGGGAAAGAACAGAAAACGTCCAGGCTCCTTCGAGCACACTATTTGTCCAGTATAAAAGACTCTGTGATAACATGACATGTAGAGAAAAGGGCTGATACCTTTCCATGTAATTCTTAGATCTATGCTTGAGCAAGGTCCATCGTTCTATCCAGTGCGGTTGCATGATATTTGTACTGTGTTAACCCTTCTTTTTGGCGGGAAAAAAAGACGGGCTCTGTCATGAACAGTGGTCATGTGGTGGCACTGGTGTCGCAGATACAGCCCAGTTCTGGTTAACAGTAAGTCAGTATGTTGAGTGAGGTAGCATGCGTTGTTTGAATTACTGGTCCTCTTCTTCTTCCTCCTCCTCCTCTGCAGATGATTCCTGGGATGCCTTTTCTTCCTTCTCCTGTGACAAGAAGGAAAGAAGAAAAGAAAAAAAAATCAGCCGGGATTTGGCTACACCCATGAGGAAAATATGCCATCAACAATGGCTGCCGGTGATTCATGTCTCAACGTGACTGTTTTTGCCTTAAAACCCCAAGTACCAACATGAAGAAAAAAAAAAATCAATGTTATTATAAATCTCTTTGATACACCACTGTGGCATGAAGAACACCCAGGGGAAGGGTGAGCCATCTGTAGTGAAGTGATTCATAAAAGCAGTGAGTCACAATGAGGCATCCTGCTTTTGCCCCCTCCCCTCCCCTCCCCTTCCTCATACTCACTATAGAATGAGATGTTCATTCATAAAAATGAGCAGGCTAGCTAAGAGGGTAACTCTGGGTCATTCCTCTCTGTGACTAATTCAATCCAGACTTCTTCTTTCAGAGTACGCCCTAACCACTCATGCACATGACAGAATGTTACTACAAGACCACAATTTCTTCCCAGATTAAAACAAGCATCCTTGACCTGCTGGCGACTCATTTTGTTGGTTCATAAAAAGGAAACTAGGCTGTCAGTTTCGCTGGTAGGATATACTGAATCTACAAAGAGGATGCTCTAAATGAACATACGAACCAAAAATAGCTGCGATGACTAAAAAAAAAAAAAAAAAAAAAAAATGGCTTGTCTGAGAGGAAGGAGGCAGGGGGAATTAGGGAAATGCAATTTCTCCCTGCAGACAGTCATACCAATCATAATTCAATTTGCAGAGGAACCGTTAAACAAATGTGAACACTGACTGCTCTTGAACGGGCTCTTACCTCCTTCTTAGGTCTTCCCCTGCGTTTCCCACCAGCAGGGGGGGCTGCTGCGGCCTTCTGTATGAGAGAACAGTTCCAAGGTTAAAAAAAAAAAAAAAAAAAGGAAAAAAAAAAGAATGTTGTGAATTTTCAATATCAAATGAGCTCCTCTTTGGCTCATATTTTTGGCTGGAAAAGTCTGTGGTGTAAACAATGCATAGCTCTTCGTATTACTGCCTGCAGATGGCAGCAGAACCTCCCTGAAGACTGGGATGGAAAGGGGGCATTGGGTTCATTGGCTATTATCTGGAAGGCCGACAGGAACTGCACACAGGGCACTCCAGTTCGCTGGCCACCTGGTCTGAGGCTCAGAGACAGCTGGTGGAACTGCGCAGAGACACAAACCCTCCACAGCTTGGCCCTCGCTGCTAAAACCTATATCATACATGTTCGTGCCTTTTCCTCTCGATGTTTCTCCCTCTCTCTCTCTCTCTCTCTCTCTCACAGTGTTTCCTATACATAGCTGAGGAGACAGCGCACGGGGGAGCTGGAGGGCTGGGGCGAGGGAGAAAATCAGTTGTTGCTATGGATACGACAGGCAGAGAAGAACTAGGGCTGTGTGCTGGGTGGGGGCGGAGGGGTGCTTAGTGTCAGCTTGGAAACAGTCTTTGCGGCCTCTGCACCTGCACTGCACTGTGCATGACAAGCTGCAGGAAGCTGGAGGACAGGAAGTACACAGAGAGCATCACTCAAAAAAAAAAAAAAAAAAAAAAAGAAGAGAGAAAAAGTAAGGCAGTAAACTCAAGTCTTTACAATGGGAAACACTGGCCGGGTTATTTCTGACACCATGAAAGGAAGCAGCTAAATCGCAACCAGCAGATATATCACAAGTAACAGCAGGACGTCCCTTTAAGAGGATGAGGTTAGCTACCGTTAAAAAATGTTCATCAACTGAGGGGAAGAGGGCTAGAAAAAGGGGAAATAACGATAAGAGAGAGCCGAGGGGACAGTGACAGTTGTAGTCAGGCTCAGGGTGCATGGTGACTCAAATCTGCCACCATGAAAAAACACACACATATATACTCCATCTCTGCACACAGCACACTTACTTTGCCCTTGCTGGGGGTCTTGTTTCTGCTGCCCTTTGGACGTCCCCTAGGCCTCTTGGGGGTAGGAGACCCACTTGGTTCCTGAAAATGAATACAGAAGAAAAATCAGTAAGCAAACACACAAAAAGTCTCGATTGTATCACTTTAAACAAATACTCCTGTTGCATTTATTTACATCTTACTGTGCAATGGGGATTGATACATATCTGCACGCATATTCTTGTTTACTTTTGCCATTTCAAGGTCAGGGAGGCTGACAGGTGTTTGAAGCAGCAGGTAGCCATCAAATGACATGTAAACAAGCCGGTGTCTCACCAACTCCCCACAAACACATTGGTTTGTTTCAAATCCATATTAAAAGAGTGATCACCATGAGGTGTAGAAAGAGGGCGTCAGTGTTAATTATTTAGGGGATTACCATCAACATGCATGGCAACCTCAGTATGAAAGCAGACATCTTGTTCATTTGCATATCTGTGGTTGTAAGCCGTGCCATGGCCGACTCATCTGATATTGCATGTCTCGAGTGTTTACAACCGCAGCTCGTAGCAACCGAGCAATTCAATCCTTAAACACCCGGCACTGAGTGACAGCTATACGAGCCATTCTGAGCCTCTACACTATGTCATCCATTACATGGCGAGTAGAAAGGAGCAGAGGTGGCTTTGTGCAGGGAGAGGTGGGGGGGGGGGGGGGTTAAGACCAGTTTAAAGGTGTTTGGTTACAGGTTGCTTACAAACCGGTGAGACACAGGAAGTTTATGGCGGACTTCTACATTTACACAGATAAGGGGTGAACTAATGGTCATAGGGGTTTTCTGCAGCCATATCAAGATGGACGGTGGATTATGGCATCACAACCCCTGGTATCTACCTGACCATCAACTGGACCAGATGTCGGCTTTTTGTTTGTTACACCCTCCCTTCTCTTAATGCATATACCAACACCATGCAATACTGACATAACTGTCCCGTAAGGTATGAATATTTACTTACGTCAGAAGTGTTCACCTGCGGCTGTTTGCGGGGTCTTCCACGCCCCCTCTTCTCGGTTGCCTCCTTCTCCTTCGGCGAGACTGTCCCCTTGTCGCTCATGTTTGCTTCGCTTTTCAAACCTGCAGGAGATAAATCACACCGGTCAGGCTTATTGCAGGACAAGGCGTCGTGTTCGGTTACACACACACACACACACACACTCATACACAAACACACTGCACAGAAATCACCAGGGCATTTAAACTCACTGACCGCAACAACAAACCGAACCGGTAACGCGTTTAACTCAATTAATCCGCACTTATTTCCAGCTCTATTTCGGTCCTATCCACGCTTCCTCACACCGCCGACGTTACTGTTCAAACAGGGGACTGATATCAAAACAGATCGGATAATATCTCCGGTTTCGCCGGCGATCTTGAGGTCGAGAAACTCAGTACAACACGGCTGAACCCGACGCTCCCTTTCCCCGCACCGACCATGTATAGAGGCCCTAGTTGTTGTGGCCGGTTAATCGGGCCTGTGCATAAAACTCTCCCATGCCGAATACTCACACACACCCACACCATGACTTGTATGTACTCGTCGGGATTTGTAGCTTCTCCCAGACAGTGCAAGAACCCCTTTCTTTTAAAGCGCAGAAAAATGCAGGCGGACGAGGTAACAGGGTTCGCATCGCGGCATTGAAAGCCCGGGCCACAGCAACAATAGACGGCTTCGCGTTCAGAGCATGCAAGCCTCCTGTCGCCGGAGCTCCAGCGATTGAAATAAAACATACATTTAAAAATCGACATTAGCATGCAAAGTTTCACATTTTTTTTCCTGCACTCACCTCTATCGTTCGGTTATAACCTCTGCTCTAAATTTAAGACGAAATGTTTCCTTTAAGCCTGGCTGGTTGTACCCGGTTAAAAGCCCTGCACCGATCTATAGGCTACAGCTTTTATTCGTCAGACAACACACAGCCCGCCCCTTCCAAAATCCCAGCTCGCGAAGCGCCGAAATAACACTTATGAATTGGAAAGGAATATCACACATTACATCCAGAGGACATTATATTTAAAATGTCTTACCAGCAACTTGAGCGGCTTCATCCAACGACGGCTTAAATATAGCACGTGCGTCTCGTCTCGAGCAGATAAGGGGGGAAAAAGGCGCCAGCCAGAAGCAGTTTTGGGGCAATTTAAAGAGCCACCCTCATGGGAGCTGAAGCACTGGAGGGCGGAGATATGATAAATGGGCCACCAACAGCACTGGAGGAGCTCAACAACCCCCTCCTCCTACTCTTTCTCCTTCAGGATCCTTCATATTCCTCAGGTTTGATCCATTCACAGCACGCCCAATTAAAAGTTTCCGAATACACAATCAACAATGAAACTCAGTCTTGTTGATAACATAGGCTATCTATAGGTATAAAGTGCTATGCATTACCATTACCTGCATACCACAGTCTCCACAGTGATGGTGAGTGAACTGTGACCTCCCCCAAAGTAAACAAGCTGCTTTTAAGCACAGAAAGGCATTTCTTGTTATTTCCCTCCTAAAACATGCTATGCTGGGAGAACTACTCAGGTGATTTAGGATGTATATTTTTTTTAAACTGCCCCATCAATGAAAGTCATTCATTTAAAATGTAAGATAAAATATGAGATATAGCAAAATACAATTACAATATCCAATCTTAGTGTACTTAATTAAGGCAGAAAAAAACGCTTCATAAGGGTGGAATCACTGGATTATTATGACTGAGTTTATAATTTGCAACTATAGGAATTAAATGATATAGCAGGAACTGCAGTCTACATAAAGCCTACTTAAAGGAAGTTCTACGTTCGACAGTATTAGGCTATTCAAAATAACTTTATAACTCTACAATATTCAATAGGATAATAATCTTTCAGATAAATAAAGTAGGCTAAAAAGTGAAAAGCGATGTGGACTATCAACCCAACATTAAAGGCTTTCTCTGAATTATATGATATAATTCACTTTTTTGTCTCCTTGTGGAAATTTGCTGCACATTATTTAGCTACCCCGCAGTCTAATCAATCAATAGAAACAAACAATGATCCACATGTAAACAGAGACATGACCCATATTTAACAAGATTTGAATAGAACACACAAATTAAAGAAGAGAAAAAAAAAACTAAAAAACTTTAAAAACTAAATTATTGTCACCTCAACCAAAGTAATCAGATAACCAAGCAACTTTATCAAAAGGGATCATAACATTAGAAGGTTAAAAAATGAACATTTTCACAAGACTGGAAATGTGTCAAACATAATTTACTGCAAATGACAGTAAAAAAAAAAAAAAAAAAGTCTTGCATGGCTGTTGTTGGTTTGTTGTGCTATGTAGGGTGCTTCTTAGATTAAATGTTGTCATTGTGTTGGACAATTGTCTCAATGGGTTTTATAAAGCCTTACTCTTCTATTTTCTGCGGATCTTACCAAGATAGTGTGATACCACTGTCTTGTAATTGTTAGAACAGATTTTAATAGGAAAACTTACTTAAACTTCAGCTCATCTGTTTTATTTTGTTCTCATAATTGAATACAAGCAAGTTTTTGTTTCCCTTCAGCCCCGACTCTGGGTCAGTAAACTGGCCAAAACTACCTTGTCTGCTACCTCTCCCTCCCTCTCTCATAAAGACATTTATGTTACGCCTCCATGTTGCTCTCAGCCGTTGTTGATGAGACGCTTTTGCATTTAAATTAGAAACCTCAATGTTTATTGCAGGGGTGTGGTGGATTCAGATGAGACACTCCAAACTGTATTCTAATCAAACCAACTACTAGTACTTTCGCACAAAGGTTTCACTCGTCAAAGACTTCCCATCTGGAGCTTATGGGGCCTACGCAATTGAAAACAGATATTGAGAACGTAGAGTGACCTAGAGTCATTCTACGTAGAGTGAAAGCCGCCACTTACTGTCACATGTTTGTATTTCATTTTTCTGCTTCTTCTGTCAGGACTCATGTTAAATAACATGAGATTAATCAGATGTGTTGATATATTTTCTACACCTAAACTGCACAAATCTGATATTAATTCACTGTATGTACATGATAGTACAGGAGTTGGATATTTAGTAAAAGGGGATTGGATGGAGCATGAATGGAGAGAGCGCTTTTCTCAATGAGTCCAATGTTCTGCTCAGCATGTGCTTGCCTTGCATGCCCCCCCCCCCCCCCCCCCATCCCTCCCCATTTCTCACTCTATTCACTTCCTTCCTCTCTATCTTCCACAACTACTTCAGCCCCATCCCCCACACCCTCACACATCCCTGCCATACCAGCCCCTCAGAATGTGTGTGGATGGAGACAGGGAAATAGGTCCACTATGTGTGTGTGTGTGTGTGTGTGAGAGAGTGAGGAATGTCGTCCTGCTCAACCACTGGCACCACCTGGAGACCAATCAGGGGACTGGGTAATGTGACCAGCCGGACATGATGGAAAACAAATGTTTGCATTTTACATTTGTATGTGAAGGAAGACAGTGGGTCAAGTGAAATGTCAAATTTGTGCCGACACTTATAAAGCGATAATAGAGCAGGCATTTGGAATTGAATACTCAGCTATTATTAGGAGAGTCTTGCAATTTTGCATTTAAAATACCCAAATGTTTTTTGTTTTTTTTCTCTGAAATCTGATAAAATGTTGATTTACATCTTTTTTTTTGGAGGAGGCAGCAAAAACACATTCAATCGTACACATGTTTCCTCATTTTAGAATGATCAAATCAAACAGTAAGACAGGTTAAAAGAGAACAACAAGAGAAGAATACACAACTATCCCCTTTACCTCTTTCCCAGGACTTTACTTCATGTCACTACAAAGGGAGTTATCAATGTCGTCAATTCTGATGATCTGTTCCCAATTACCGCTGCAAAAAGCGGAAAACAATCATTCGTCAAATAACAGAAATGGCCGAGTCAAAATTTGGGACAGAAGACGCTTTTAACTCTAAAAATCTTCTTTATTTTCTTTTCTTTTTAAAAGTTTATCTGGTAAATTAAAATAAATATTTCAGGTATATACTGACTATATATAGATGTAGGACATAAGCATGTGAGGGGTTTGAATAAAGGATGATTCTTTCCTAACTGTCCCTCAATTTTTTTGTCTTTAAGAAATGATACACCGTGAAAATAGTAGTGAAATAAATCAAACATTTTGATGTTTACCCATTACAGATATCAGACATGTTCCATGCAATTTGATCACCACAATGCTTCTGTCCTGAGAAGTCTTTAAAGTTTGAGTGCAGTCATTAAAAAAAAGGATAATTAGAACACAATTTCTCAAAGGATACTTGTGCTATTGACTCGTTTTGATATCCTTGACAATAGGATCTCATAGCAGGTTAATGATGGCTTGTAAATCTAAAAATAAATCACGTCAAATCAGATCACTCTCCCTTATCCCAGACTCAGTGTTTCTGTGGCAGATCCTAAACTGTGGCACAAGAAAAGAACGACACAAACGGGTGAGTGAGATTGAATTTACATGCTAATCAAATCTTCCAAGAGACAAACACTTCCACCTCAGTGTCCTCCTCAAAGAGCCGTCTCTTGCCTCGTGAACTCTGCAGCAGGTCAGGGCAGACAGAATCCTATTAACCATCGGGGGGGTCTTGGCCCACTTTGGCATGCTCACCCATCCCCCACCTATGTCCCCCCCCCCCCCCCCCCTATATGCTCATCCGTCTTCCCCTCCAGCAGCTCATTCTCCTCTAGCTCGATCCATTTTTAGGCGCTGTGTAAACCGCAAGACTGCTGCAGCCAAACCAACTAACAGATGTGGACATAACATCCTATTCCTGCCTGCGCCTGGGTTTCCCCCCTTATGCTTGTGCTGCTGCTGTTGGCCCAGGATGAGCCTGAACATGACTAAAACACACACGCCACTCACATCCTCAAAAGAGGAGAGGGAGAAAAAAAAAGAGGGAAAAAGAAGCAGGAGAGAGAGAGAGAGAGAAAATCTGCTGGGAGGGGAAGAGGAAAAGTGTGGGAGCAGTTGAAAGGCAAGGTGGGCGGAGATGGGAATATGTGTGTGGGTGTCTTTTATACTTCTGCGAGGGGGCGGATGGAGGTTAGTGGGCGGAGGGAGCAGGGCCAGGCTGATTCAGTCATGAGTAGTATCTGACTCACACAAACAGAGGAAGTAGCGCGTGCAGCCTGTTAAGTGAACACAGTGCTGTATTTATGTGATACTCCTATAAGCATTGGGATAATATGAGCTCTTCAACTACCTAATTTCACCTTGGTCCATCCGTTCGTCGGTCACTGAGTCAACGCTCCACTCTCCCTTTCAAATTCTTTCAGATCCACATCCTGAGCTTTTTGGACGGGGCTCCAGCGGGTGCATCAGTCATAGTGTGACTCAAGCTTGTGAAATTTCTAAGGGTGAAAATAAAGCCATATTTGAAACTTCCTTTGGCAACAACAGCCTTTACATGCCAAAACATGTCTCTGTTCATGCTTTGTTCTGTTGTTATATAACAAGTATAAGAAAAAATATCTGCTCAGTTTCTTTAAATTATTAATTTCATTTAGGGTCAGTTGTGTATATCATTGCTAAAGATACAACACAGCATTTGCGTACAAAATATTCAGAACACAGAAGAATATAATTTTTCATCACTGACACTTCATGCATGGCCCCACGATAGGGAGGTCAGAGGTCAGGGTCAGCTGCAGTGCAGTACTCCTCAGGCTTACAGCAATTTTCTGATGGCGAATCTGTATTGCAATCCCTTTAAAATATGAATTAGGGATGCATTGGCTGAACATCTGTGTACGCCGATATCGGCCTTGTTGAAAACTTTGTTTCAATGGCAAATAATGTGCGTTCACTGATGTCAGTAGCTGATGTGTTTCTGTATTGTCGCATCAACTTTTAGTTTCTAATTCTGGCAAGCTATCTGCTGAATCAGAGAAGAGTTTTTCTTTTTGATTCTGTTGGACAAACTCTGATTTGTTTTCATAGTCAAACATGAAATAAAGTGTCGGCAGTGTAGGAGTCTCTGAGAAAGTTCAGTGACGTGCAGTTTGTAAGACATGTTCCAGTGACATTTCAAGAATACTTGAATACATTCAATCTCATAGCTCATTTAAAAAAAGGCACAAAGAAGTCATGAAAAACTGTAATGGTATCAGCCATCAGTTTAATTATA